ATGAGAAGTGTGTTGCACTGTCTCAACACAGTTTCCTCAATGGGTACCTACTTTTGATAGACCAATAAATTCATGACAGGCAGAAAGTGCAAGGTTCTTCCATTTTTCAAGTTACAGCAAAAAAACAAAAATAAATCATTTCTAGAACTATGAATAAAAACATTTAAGACAAAAAGTTTACGTATACTAGGTTAACCATTGTACAGTATTGGAGAAGGATTCACCCTCAATAGATTCTAAAATTTTAGTCAAGCACTATGGTCAAAGGAAAGAATTTCTGTGAAACAAAGTTATTGAATGAATTCATAAAGTAAAAACTATTAAAAAGATTCTGTTGTATTGTAAGACTTCCTTTTAAAAGTGAAAATTACAAATAAATCAACTTTCCACTAAAAAGCGAAAAATGAAAACCGTACTAAGGAAATGACAAAAAACTTATTCAGCTCAAAATTCAACAATTAAAAATCAACTTAATAAGGAATGAGGCCAAAAAACAACAAAAATTCAAATTAGTTTTTGGTTTTCTTTACTACAGCCTCATACCAAATTAAGTGCCTTTTAATTGTGCAACAGAAACATTAACAAATAAAAAGAAAAAAATAACAGTGTATTGAAAACTCAATAGTAAAGATAGAAAAAGCAACTGAACTCATTTCATAGGAGAATAATGAATGAGAGAGGGTTCTACTTCGAAAAGAAATAAAATCAATAAAACCACAGATGAAACCATAGTGGTTCCTTAACACAAGCTTTAATTCAGCGCTGGCTTATTCTTTACAGTTTCCAATACATCATTCATAAGGCAGTTAAAAATTCAGAACAAGCGTTCAAATTAGCCTTTGATAAAACATTTTGGTGCATACTGTCTGCCCACTAACTTAGAAAAACAAGTTACTGAAAAATTGAGGTAAAGCTCATGCAGTAACCAGCGACATGAGAAAACAATGTTTTTTATTTCATTTATTGATATTTTTTCATTTTTCTTTTTATAGAGATTTCTCAAGAGAGCACAAACCTACTCTTAAAGTTGATTTTGATATCTTGAGGAGGGTGTGTCCGTTTCATTTTGCAGATAAATGAGACAATCCTTGAGAGAAATTAATTTGATAGAAAATTGATTATTTTAAATTTTAGTGGGGTACAGGAACAAGCTTTTGAAATAATGTGTCAGATGTATGGAGATATTAATGGAGATTGATGATTGATTCGTAAATCAGTTTCAAATCCTCGCGGCTAGGTACAAAAGAAATAATTTTAAAAGTCAACTATAACATAGAAAATTGCAAACTTAAAAGTAAATTACTTTTACTTTATGGATTATGCGGAGTGTGAACTTTGACAAATTAAAGATAGTACCAAGAACTATTTCTGAAGCAATCAAAACAATCTGTTAAAACTGTGCAGAATAAACCATCGTGAACAAGGGTATATATAGCATGAGGAAAGAGGGTTTAACCATTTTAATCCTAGATTTTAGGTCTCTTGATTTCCAAATCACTCGAGTCTCCACTATCATCCGGATGCAACGGCTGGAAGTCAGGAATCTGTTCACGTGGAGGATTCCACGAGTCGCCACCTCGGAGGGGAGGTGAACTGGACGTCTTAGGAGTAACAGTCCCCTGAAAAATATGAGCAACCACATTATTTTCATTGAGTCACTTTCATCAAATGAGGGAATTAAAAGAAGATTCTTATCTAAGTTAATTTGGACTGCATTTTGCAATTTGGAAATATAAATTCTAGCCCGGTTTAAAAACATTGTATGTGCCATTAGTTTCCCTATGCACATAAATGTTTTTTCAGATGAGTTAGAATTTATAGCTCCAAATTGCAAAATGCAGTCCATTTATTACGGTGAAAACTTTAATGACTTTTTCGGTGCACTAAACACAGAGTCAACCGGAAGCATGGGAGTGAGCAACTTAAGAAGCGATCACGTTATTCAGAAAATATGGAAACCATTTTAAAGAAAAAAAATTGAAGAGTCAGTTCTAAATTTATCTTGATGGCCAAAGTGCGAAACCACATACCTCGATTGTGGTGTTTCAAATTGTCTGCTCCTATTTTATTATTTTGAAGAGGAGCACGCCAACTTAATAGCTTGAAATTTTTACAGAAGAGTCTCCTGGGAGGAAAAGGATCATGAAGAGATATTAAAAATATTAAAATTTAAGTTGACTAGTTATTCAAAGAAAAAATAAAGTTCGACAGGAAGTCTGCAATGTAGCAAACAGAGATATGCGCTTTCGCACTTAAGTCATCGATCTGCCATCCCATTGTAAGTAAGCAATGACGTCACCTATGGTATGAGTTTTACAAAACGACAACTTTCATCTGTGAGGAGAAGAACTTATGAGGATCAACTGGACTACATTTTGCAATAAGGTAACACTGTTTCTGGCTTACTTTAGAAACAACATATATGCCATTAGATTCCCTATGGAGGAGGGTGCTTTTATGGAAGAGCCAGTAATAGTGGTTCCTTGTTGCACAATGTAATCCAACTACTCTAAGAAAATTTTAACTGATTTCGAACCCCTCTTAAACAAACTGTTCCTGATTCAACACTGCAAAGCACAAGCAAAATTTTTGATGAGTTGAGTATGGTACCTGTCATTTTTTACAGCTCATTACACATTATACTGAGAGGCTCATCGATCATAATGTTGGCAAGTTTGAGCTTTGTATGCTGAACAACATTTTTTTTAGGGCAAGATAATGTTGACCTTTGAGTGCAAAAATACTATTTATTGTCATTTTGAGTGCTGAAATTTAACAGGAATTTCCCTTTAATACAGTATTTCAGATGAACTTCAACAATGAGACTACCATCTATGTAAACTTACACCTGCGATAGTTGCCTTGGGACAACCTATTTGATACGCGGCATTGGTCAAAAAGCAAGCCAAGCAACAAAAATTCAAAGGCAAGTGGCAAGAAAATCAGCACTACTTGCCAAATGTCAAGTTACTCATTCAAATTAGGAAACTTAACGGTATGCTCAGCTTTGCAGGTGGAATCTACTGGACTTACGCCGCAAATACTGACTTTCAGCTGGTGCAGCAAATGCTGAGTCAAGTCGCTCAGCTCCAATTAACATGAATTGAGTATGCTATGTGGACAACATGAAATTTGGGAGATACATAAAATCTACCATGTTAAGTTTAGAGAATGCTGCTTAGTGTGGAGCCCGGTTTTATGGAGGGAATTACTTTTCATTTTGAGCATTGAAGAAAAATAAATATAATTTGGATGTATTATTTTATCAGAAGACTTCAATATGATTTCCAACCATTTAAGAAAGTAATGCATACTAGAACACGTAAGCACATACAATAGGAATCATTTCCCTTCCATTACGTAGTAACGATTATTCTTGGAAACTTTGACCTGGCAGTAATATTTAAATTTCATTACATAGATAAGTTTTTCAAGCACAATTTTCATGCATGGAGGATTTCTATGTCTCCCAGGAGATGGGACGGGAAATATAAAAGGAAAAATACAAATTATATAACCGCCCACAGGAACGATGAGCAGAAAACATTTATATTGTCGGTCAACGACCTACGAGAGTAAAAGAGCTAAATTAAAAACTTAAAGAACCACCAATCATACAAAAAATCGATCGAGATGAATAAAATAAAATAAGATGAATTATAAAATGAAATTATTTATTTCATTTTATTTTATTTTACTTCAGTCAAACCCCTGTTTAAGTTTTTAAAATTAGTTCTTTGAATTTCAAGGAACTTTAAACCATTGCTCTTTAACCTATACGTTAGAACATTATCGTTCAGGAAGTCCTTCCCCTTTAGTTTTCTCTCTTGTTGCAGCTGAGTTTTAGAGCTTTCTGCTATGGTACAGCTGATAATGAAACTATTCATGATAAAGTTAGTATACTATGTAATGAACTAAATCTTTCCTTCTGAGCGAATATCCACGAATCCTATTAAGGGGCGTTAAAGTATTACATGCGGATGAGGGGGGTGGGGAGTCCAATCTTACATTGGTCACCCACTTGAAAAAAAAAAAAAAAAAAAAAAAAAAAAAAAAAACACATATTATTTACCAACAAAAATATGTGTTTTTCAGCTGTTTCTCATGCTTCTTCCGTTATTCTTTGAGAAATTGGAGGGGGAAGGGGGTTCAGATCAGTCTTACGTGATTCAAAATGAAAGGATATCTTGTCACCTTACAAAGGCGAGGGGAGGGGGTAAATAAATTTACCACTTTGTACTTTACCACTTTGTAATTGTACTTTATGTAATGTTTAAACGGCATTGCACCATACCATAGCAAGGAATGCAAATTGGATGCTTTCATGTGAAAGAAAGGTACATATTTGTTGGAAAAATATCATGTGGAGAAACTTCGGAGTGCAAAAATACATGCAATTGGTTTGCAGGTGAGAGATTATTTAACAATCACTGTTAATTTACAAGAAAATTCAGCCATAAGTGACATTTTCTGAGGAAAACTGGGGGAAAACTTGTTTCGGATGAGTTATGCAGAAGTGGTTTAGAGGGAAAATATTTCCTTATATTAGGAAATAACATTTAGTGACATTAAGATGTGACTGGTACACTAAAAAATTCAACCAGCAGATCGGCATAAACTTTGATACCTACTGAAGTTCCTCTGAGGTTGTTCAAAAACATTTTAGTGGGAACAGAATGGGACTTGACGAAGAAAATATTGCGGTGAAATAGTGAGTGGCTAAAAAAGAGAAATTTGTTTCACTTTGAACCGATTAGTGAAACATGCGTTTTCTCTTCCATTCAGCAATGCAGCAAAGCTAGTACAGATCTGAATCTTGGCAGAGAACGATGTATAGTAAAATGGGGGACTCTCTCATGAGAATTCATGCAAAAAATTTTATGGGCCCCCTTCCGAGAAATGAAATGGATCTCTGAATGACCTCTGATTTGAGACTGATGACTAACAAAATTGTTTGAAGCAGAGAAATTATCATGGAAAGTAAAAAAGTAACATCAAAATCAATGATAGAGTTAATTTTATTCCTAGAAAGAATTCCAGTATTTACAAATACAATAGCTATAAATAAAATTTCTTAAATTACTAGCGTAAATTACTATGCGTATACATGTTGTACTTCTAACAAGCAACTCCCCACCATGAATAGAAAGCCCTCTGATTTGTGTGTCTCTCATTAGTCATTAGAGCTCAATTTTAGAGTGAGTCCTGTGAGACGAGAAAATTTAAGAAATCATCAAGGTTTAGAGGGGGATAATAATTTGTTTCTACTTTCAAAATACTTAGGAAGGCCTTCAATGATTAAGCTTCCACTGGAATTTGTCAAGGCTGAATTGAAATGCTTCAACTCTCATCATAGAAGTTGGTGCAAGAGGTACTGACATCGGATTCCAGTTTTGGGACATGGATTACACATGCTCTTATTAATCCCCGTTGTCACGACAGGAGCTGCGAGTTAGAAAATGGCGTGTTAAATCACAGTTAACAATAAAGTCAGAGCACACGCGACTTAAAAATAAAATAAAAGTAGTATAATATTCACCCTGTTTTCAATTTGCAATACTCTTTTTCACTTCTCGCGAATATGAGATTTTGTCTAAATGCGTAACCAATGCAATCAGTATATTGCTCGATAATTTGAGTGCTAAGATAGTATTTTTCCCTTTCCTTGCATACGCTCAAAAGAAACTGCAAATGTGTGATGAAGGAGATAAGAAAATTCAAAACATAGAGACAGAGAACAGTGAAAGAGGGAATGGGTTGATTTGGATGAAAAATGTTTTTGTTATGCAGCTCCAAAAATGGAAGCATAGCATGTTACAGTTTAGTTTTTTTTTCGGTTTTTGATTATTATTAAAAACCCAAATAATATTTTATGCAATGAATCAGTTCACAGTGATTCAAAACTCTTGCAAGGTTATGGGGATTGCTCATTGCAAAATGTCACTTATTTAATTTCGTTGTTTCAAATACTTTCCACACATCCTATGAGGTCAAAAAAATTTACTCTGATATATTTGTGATGTGACCCTGCTCATAACATATTGAAAGCTTATTTTGCTAAAATTGATAACATTTATCAACATATTTTGCTATGGATAGCAGCATATAAAATAAAGATGATTCTGAGACTCAATTAGTAGTTGCACTAAATGGTATACAATTAATCATATAAATATTTTTCTTCAAATTGTAGAGGTAAAAACATAATTTTTTAACTGTAGATTGAAAAAATAAAGGAAGAGAAAAAAGGAGGTCCTCGATTAAAAATTAAATTTATGGTATACAGTATTACAGGCAGTAATAAATGAACTTAAAACCTTACCTCAGTACTTAAAACCTTATTTTGGGTAGGATATTTGGTGATGCATCTTAAATCTAAGGACTCGCAACTCTATAAAAAGAGGAATTTCTTTTCCTACATTATTTTTGTAACATAGGAGGCAATACTGAACCATTTATCATCCTTCCAAGCACAGAAAATACAAAACGAGGCGTTTACAGGCAAATGCATGTGAAGCTGGTCTATTTTAGTGAAGTGGAAATTTGACTTTTTTGCTTTGTTCTTCATCGATCAAAGCACGAGAAACAGAGAATTCAAGCTAGAAAGGATGAATTGACCTTAACCTAAAATAAACACTTAATTTATAAAGCACTCTTAAATCGTATCGCTCAGTTGCAAAACCTTTTTGCTCATGAATAAAAAATACATCAAAAAAGATTTTTTTTTCAATAGGACAAATTTTTAAATCAATTACAATAAATTATAATTACATTGTTTTCATTTAAGAGAATATAAAAGTTATCTAACACTTAATAACTAATAAGGATCACTATGCACGTATACAAGTTAACTTAAGTAAAAAAGCCACAGAAAGTATCAGCTGGAGGAAAAAAGATCAAGTGTGGAGGAAAAAAAAGCTACTGATCTCTTAAAGATGACAGTGAGATTAAAGATGGGAAAATTCATGGAGACAAAAAGAATAAAAACTCTTTTTTAAACTAAATAATTAAAATCTCCGCGGAAAATATAATGTTTCTTGTTAGCATCTTTACTTGGATGTGAAAACACAAACTTTTCTTTTGAAATGTCAAAGATAATGGAAATGCTAAGCTAGTAGCTTTAAGAAAGCGACTGGATCATCAGAGCTTGATTGCTCTAAAATCGTCACAAGTGGCAGAAAAGTTCAAATCTATTTTTTTAAAAAAAGAATTGGCCTTTGTGCATTTGAAAATCCGTTGGAACTAAATAGATCCATTGAAAACAAAATCATTCACGAAAAAACAAATGAAAAGCTGAGAAAAAATTGACAGAATAAGAGAAAATTAGATAATTACAACAACATAATTGCTATGATCTTTCATCTGTAAGATAGTTCTTGCTTAATTTATAAGAAGGCTTAGAGAAAAATTTAACACTAGTGTACAAAGTAATGGTATACAAATTTATCACAAACGGTGTGAAAGATTAAAACTTTGATAGCAATATTATTCATTCAAAATTTAATATTTTCTCTCGTATTCTAGGAAGTAAAATTTCGAAAGCAATGCTCTCGTTTAATTCCTGCTGGATGAGAAAGAGTAGGTGTAATCAACACTTAATTGAAAAAATAAAAAAGTACCCATCATCCATTTGAGAAACCCCAGAGTCATGGTTTTCATTTACAGAGCAAAGGTCAGATTGGGAGAACCTTCAATTTCAGAATTATTTCATGAAAATTACAGTGGCTTGATCTAAGTCTTCTCCACTAATATGAAAAAAATAAAAATTGGAGTCTAAAATAACAAAATAAATGAGGAGAGCTGCTCCTTCCTTAACAATTAAAAAATAATTTAATGACTCTGGAATAATTTGAAATGTTTGGGAATATGCACACAAGCCTGGGTGTAGATACTTTCAGCAAATATATGAAGAAAATCTGATTTATGTAGCTCATGAAAGAAGTCCTTAAAGTCTGCTAGAGCTAAAATGTTTTAAAATTTTTCTCTGATTTCGGCATGACAAGATAAAATTTTATGGGAAAAATCAAAATCTTTGTTCAAATATTAGATTTGATTCGAATCGATATTAGTGTAGATTCAAAATCATCTAGAAGTTAATTGACCAATGAGCTTGGTCAGTACTGTCCCCAACTCTTGAAAAAAAATTAATGATACTCCAGAAATCTAATGCCTGTGATAGAACAAGAAAACTGCGCTTGCAGATGCAGTCTCTGAACCTGATAGCAGTAAGGAGAAAAGGAGTTTGTACGAGGAACAACTTTTATGCCACATCACAAATTTGCTTTTTTTTCTGTGTATGAATATTTCAAATGACTTTTGAGTGAGAGAGAGAAAATATCCAAATGATTGCATACTCTAAATTCAGACTTAGTTACAAATGAAAAATAACAATAACAAAATGAATAGAAAATAATCTTAAAGGTAGTTACAAACATGATGAAATAACAATCATACGAATTTTCAGGTGGATCAGTTTCAGAATCGGAATGATGATCTGTCAGGTGAGCTGGGGATGATGACAATGGAGGGCCAGTGATCGGATCTCGCTCCCTGGCGCTGCGCCCGCCACGATCATCAATCATCGTTTTCAATCATCATCATCGTCTACGTCATCATCGTCGTCATCGTCACAGTCGCGAACCTTGAACAACCAATCACAGAGCGAGATCCATCAGCCATCAGTCATCAACATCCAAAACCCAGATCCCAACAGACAGATTCAGAGAAGAGAGGTGAGAGAGAAGTTGTGAGCAAAAGAACAAGAGAGAGCGGGTGGAAGTAATATGCATTAAGTGTCCTTTTCATGTTTAAGCTATTATCTCCTTCTTAAGTTGTGACAGACAGATTTAAGTGAAGAGCAGATTCAAAAAACTTGATTGTTCCGTGATTCTAAACCGTGATCAATTTATTGGTATCACAAAAACTTGCTAAAGGAGGAGTTTTCATAGAAGTGCGCTTCAAATACTGACTTAATACTTTTCAAAAGAATTCAATTGAAGGATCTCTTTGATAGGTTCAAAAGGCATCTCTGATTGAATCAAAATTAGTGGACTCATTCTAGTACATATTGGAATAACAGAAATCATTCACAAATTGGACGTCAGATTGAAATATATTACTTTTGTCTTGAAGATGCATCTAGTGTTATCTATCCATGTAAAATTATATGTTATCTGTAAGTAAGTGCTTACAATGGGCAAAAACTCACTGCTTTGTCGAAAAGTAACTCCTTTTCGCCAAATGCCAAATAATTATTATTTTGAATCCGTCTATCTGAATGAAGTTTAAATTTTTTTTCTTTTGACTCAAAACAGAGCAATCTGAAAGAGTCATTGATTTGGTTTTCGGCCTCAAACAATCATCAAATCCAAAGAGGTATTCTATCAAAGCAATTTCAGATCGTTTACATGATTAAGACACTAAAATAGTTGCTTACTTCCATAAAAAAGAAAAAGAAACCAATACCAATCCTATTCAATTGTTACTTGAGAAAAAGAGAGGACTAAAAAACCGATTAGACTACTGACTGCAAGAGATTAATAAAAAGGGGGAAAGTGGAGGATCAAGTCACACACCCAGCCCGAGCATGAACACACTGTCACTGAATGTCACTGATATTACTGAACTATTGGTTACAAGCCTAAAATTGATTTTGTACTATCATTAATAGAGCTGAGCCTTTTAAATTTTGAGTCTTTTAAGGTTTCACACAGGTATTGTCAGCTTTACTCTACATTTGAAAAAAAGACAATTCCACGTTGCTAGACTTGTGTTCACAATCTAGTAAATTGGGAATTTGTTTTCCACTAACAAGAAAAATCACTCACTAGAGCAGGGGAAACTTTCTTTTGACACATATCTTGCTAACTAGTGAGCTTGAATTTGTAGAACCTTATTGGCTATAGGATTGTACATCTGATAATACTACAATGTATGGCTGGACAGAGAGATAATGCAGGCGGCAACCTGATCAGTTGCAAATCAGAGGTAAAATAAGGAGCAATACTACGCTTAAAATAAAACCTGAGAAGTTCGTATATTCTGTATTAACCTTACATTTTCTTGCTTTTTTAGGGTAGGGGCAGATAGGCCTCTTAAATCAACCCAACAATAAACAACTTGTGGTATTTTTAGGGTCAAATGTACATTTTTCATTGAAAAAATACATTTTTTGTTTAAGAACTTGAACTCATTTTAAGAAGCAAAAATTCTACGCCAGTGGGGAGGGGAGGGGGGGGGGGTTGAAAAGAATTCTGAAGTGTTGGGAAAAGCCATTGAAAATTGTGGTAGTCTTGACCAATCAAGGACATCATTAAATCATGATGTGTGGGGAAGAAAAATATTACTCAGGGAGATAAAATGTTTTCATCAATGAAATCCTTTATAACCGCAAAGAATGTTCAGGAGTGGTGCTGAAAGTAAAGTCTTAGTGGTAGATCTTTGAGCTAATGGGCAACTATTCCGAACAACACGAGGTGGTGACAGGATGAACATGCAGGAATTATATAATAAAAGATAAACCAAAGAATAAAATTAAAAACAAAAACAAGAGAAAAATCAGGTCAAAATTAGATGAAAGAAAAAGTAAAAAAGCAATTAAACGAGAAAATTTGGTGACTTGGGATGACTTTAGAGCTCGATCCTGATAAATGAGATGTACGTGTAGAAACATATCACTAAACCAGATTTTCCTGGCCATCCAAAAATACAACATTGAATGTTCATCACATTATATCCTCATAAAATGAAGCAACCGAGGAGTCGTCATCTAAGAGCATATATAAATAAAATACATTTAATCATATTGAAATTAATTTCCATTAGAATAATGAGAGCTATTCTGTCTCGTCATCCCTGTCTTATTTTATTTTAGGATACACATTTTCATTTGAACTTGAGAGCTAATTAAAAATACTTGCAAAGGAAAGAGGGTAGTCTAGCTTTCGATAATTAAAGCTATGATAAGATCAAAAAGTGAAAAAAGGGCAAAAATGGAAAAGAAAATAAGGTTCATTAACAGAAACAAAAAGGAAATAGTTGGGCAAAGAAGCAAAGCAATGAGAAGAAACATTTCCAACCACATTCTAGAGCTCCATATAATTGAACTGCATAAAACCACTGATCAGTTAGCAAAATTTTGAGATTAAAATAAATCAATAAAAAAAAAAAAAAAGCTTTTACAATATTGGTTAACTTCTGAACACAAAGTAAAGATGAAAAAATGGATTGGGACACCCATATCTTAAATCCTAGAACTGAATCTGTGCTGGCATGGATCAGCTTTTTTGAAGAGATCAATAAGAGCTTGAAACAATGTTTTTCTCTTCAAAACCTCAATATCATGACACTGATTGCCAAACAAAGTAGGCACTGAATCATTTGACTGATGACTCAAGTTGAAAAACTGCTTTGCAAGTTTTAAAATCTCATTCTTCTCCGATCTCAATGGTTTCATTGCTCGACTGCTAGTTATTCGAGAAAAACGTCAAATGTGAACAGAAAGTTTGCAGTATCATGATGCATGGAGGTGCTTCTTAGAGTGCATGGATGGGAAAAGTATTGCCATGTCTGTGACGCACTCTAATTGGTTCTCTTAAGATTTTCAGGAGGCTCTTGTGGCCCAATGTAAATATACCCGATCAATAGTATTTTGAATTATTTGGAGGGAAAATAATGATGCGTGCGGATAAAGTGTAATTATTCTCAGTAAAAATATCCGTCAAAGTTTGTTCAGCGCTCATTTTAAAGGCTGAAAACTGGCAAATGCTAATCATGTCTGAAACTCTATCGACATTCAAACAGAGAGCGACACACTTTCTCTGCAGTTATAGGATTGAGATGACAATACTCTCCCCACACAGAAACTCTAGTGTTCATCACTTGAGCCATCAATAGAGAAACTCATCAGAGGCTATGATGAGCTACACGCCAAAAGAGGAGTGAAATTTTGTTTTAGAAGTATTGGAGCAAAACAGGAAAAAATATATTGCAAGTTATGGCACCACTTAAAAGAACTCATATGAATTGCGCAATTTCTGAATACTACTCAAAATTCTTCACTTCTCAAAACAAGACCTTTGAACCTTCCTTTATTCTTTAGCAAATTTGAATTGGTTATTATGATCCAGTATTCTTCCTTGTTGCTCATGCCCTCTCAAAAAAAGGTGCAAACAACGCTAGTTTGATGGTTTGTTTCTTTCATTCCTCTCTGAATTTTGATATTTTCTACATAAAAAAGAAATATACTAAATTTAGACTGCAGCAAGGTAAACTAAAACATTCGGTTTAAGTTTGCTTTATAACCCTTTGACAGTGAACATAGAAATAAATAACACTGATCTATGATTCATGCACAATTAGGCATCTATTTACAGTGATCATGGACTATCATCGTCTCTCACCTGATGTCCCAGCGAATCATATCCCATGCTACCATCAGAGTAAGGTTGCTGAAAAAATACAAAAACATTAAAATAAGATAAGATTCAAACTAAATTCTTTAAAAGGCGGTAGGCAAGATCAGGAGATAAAGAGTTTGAAATATTCACACTTGACAATTTTTCTTCCGGTCTACAGACCTTATGATTTTGAGCATGACCTTATGATTTTGTTTTAGCATGTTATGCTAAAACAATAAATATACTACATTATGCAATTGGGGACTGGAATTTAAGGCTCAGTTTAGAAACATAACGTACGTACCATAAGTTTTCCTATGCACATTAATGTTTGTACAAATGAGCTAGAAATTGTGGTTTCTAACTGCACAGTGTGGTCCAAATATGAGTCTTCTTCAGGATAAACTACGAAGAAAATGAAGATCAAATCCCTGACCTTTCAATTCATTAGCGTTCCGTTGTTATTTCCTCTGTTTCTCTGATTTTTATTATCAGGAACTCATCCCTCGAGAAGATATTCTTACAGCTTCATGAAAGTTGAGGGGCAAATCAGAGCAGAACTACATTGAACTACGACTTAAATAATTACCTGGGATCCAGACATGGTCGAGCTGTAGTCACCTCCATTCATGTTCAGATTGTAACCCATTGAGTCTTGGGGGACACTAGGAGGAGCAGGAGACATCATTGGGGTGGGCGTTCCTTGCGAGGCTGGACCCATGCTGTACGGGGAGGCTCCTGAAAAAAAAAAAGAAAAAAACCCAAGATTTAGAATAAACATAGCAAATGAACAATGAAATTGAAGGATATAATTTATCCAGCTGAAACTATCACCTTCTTAGAGTGATGGTATAACCGTGATTGGACACTTCTAGACTGTTGGAAGAGGAACGGAAATACGAACAGTTACTACGTGAATAACTTCCGCAAATAATATCCTTACGAATTCAGAGTTTATACCTTTAAAATGATCTTGTTACTCGCAGCATTCGAGAGATGATGGACACAATGCCACTTGAATCATGGCCTCATCTGCTGATACTTACCCAACCCTTGCAGGGTTAGAGTTACCCTCGGGTGTTCCCTGTTCCTCGAACCGAAAACTAGTCAGAGGTATCATGGAGATACCAAATTTTATGAAATCGTATATAAGCTCTTAAAATTGACTCAGATGATCACGAAACGCTAAGACATTGTAAAAGGTAAAATTGGAACATTGGATAAAGTAAGTATCAGAAGTCGAACTTTTGAGTTCCGTGTCGAATTCTTGTGTATTCTTTGAAAGTTATCGACTCTATCCTTGAGAATTGCCTGGATTTTAAGAGAACTCATGAAATAGTAAAAGAAATTTAATTTTGAATCTCTGCTCCCGATTTGCTATTTTGCATTTAAGAACTACTATTTTCAGATCTTTTCGGGGACAACGTATGCACCATTGCTTTTCCCCATTCAGTTAGAGGTCTTCATCGATTGCCCGTGTCACACTATCAAAACTAGCCATCAAAATATCAAGGCCAGGTGTTGTGATTGGCTCATTCGATGACTTGGACCAATCACAGCACTTGACCTTGACATTTTGATGGAGTATTTTGATAGTGTGACACAGGCTGATGAGGACGAAACAGTCCTTATTGGCCTGGTTACACGATCAAACTGAACCATCAAATTGGGCCTCTCATTGGTCGCATCCTCACCTTAGGTCTTTTCCCACCAATCAGAGCTTCAGTTTGATGGCTCAATTTGATCATGTAGCTAGACCTCGGTGCAAAATCCAGTCCAAATGTAAAATTCCTCGCGAAGACTGGACTGCTCGACCGTCGTCAGGGGATACGTGCGAGTGGGCGAGTTGGAAATTGAATGGAAGCCAGGACCAGGCTGGGATCGGAGGGGGGGGGGGCATAGGACTCAATTAGGGGTACGAGGAGACTGGTGGAGGCGAGAGTGATTGACAGGGCGCGGGCGGGGTGGGCAACGGGGGATGATGCGATTAAAGGAATGGATATGCGGGCGAGAGCCGGGCTCGGGGCAGGGACGGCAATGGAATTAGGAAACGTCAAACTCGTATTGACTTATTTATTTCCCGCTAAAAGTGTGTCGAATGCTTTCGACTCCGCCACCTCGCGCCCCCGTTTCCCGTTCAAGTCTCGGGGCCCTCCCGGAAGCGCTCCAGGTCATGTGGTTCATTATGAGCGGGGCACCCTCCCCTGGACGGGGCGTCCAAGGCGTCCCACAACCTTAATTCTCCTCCCTTTTAAGTAATGTTCAACCGGGGTCTTACTGCGCGAGCGGTTAAAATTGAAACCTTATCACATAGCGTGGCGTGATTTGCGGTGTACCGATTGATATGCCACTCAAACCTATGAAAAAAGATCGGTTATGTAGCTTGTACATTCTGAGCTAGAGTTCTGAAGCTCTAAGTTCAATTTCATGGGTTCCTTTAAAAGTTATTTCTGCGGGGAAAATACCTCCGAGTTATACTTGATAAAAACTTCATATCGTGTGCTGTGCGGTTGAAATCGCCTTCAGCGTGAGAAGAAAGACTAGAGAAACAGTCGAGTAACTCGAATCTATCTCCGGACAAAAATTCAGAAAATCGGAACATTTCGAAGGGAGGTGTAAAGTCTTACCGAAGGGTAGGGGGAAAAAAAATCGGGAGACCTACCCTTTTTTAGATTCACCCCCGGAAAGCGAATAAAAAGGTAATGGTGCTCGTGCACTTGTGCCTCTGCCACTTGAGCATGTTCAGACTCGCCCCCGAGGGCGGGGCGGGGGGACAAGGGAGGACGCCGCGTAGTCGTCGATTTCGGAGCGACAAAAAGTGGTGAGAGGGTGGAGAGGGAAAAAAAGACAGAAAATAGAGGAAAAGGGAGAAAAAATTGGGGGAAGAGCGACCGGGGGATTCGTTGGGGGAGGAGGCGGCGGGCGGAGAGGGGGAGGACGCAAATTCCAGAAAAGGATCAGAGCGGCAAAGAAAACCCATTGAAGCTGTCAAATACAAAGCTACACCAGTGTGATATATTAACTTCATTTCGACTGCCCCCGGCGCGGCGCGGCTCGGCGCGGTCCGGACCCCCCCCCCCCCCCNGTCACTCTCCCGAGCCGCGCGACCCTCCCCCGGGGAACATCCCTGGGAGTGACGCAAGCGGGCTCCGGTAACCCGAGACGCGGGCCGATGAGCGCGTTGACAAAAGTCAATCCTCCGCTCGCCCGCTGCGACGACCGGACCCGGGGATCCAGGAAATCATAGAGCGACATACATCAAATCAAACGCGATTATCTCGCCTCCGGCCGCTGGGAAGACGGGCATCTCGTCCAAATGAGCATCTCGGGCTCCGAGCATCATTCGCTGTCCTCCCTTCTCGCCGGTCCCCGTAGCCACGTCTACCTAGAGTCCCTTCATACTGAGAGTCGAGACAACACCCCCTCATGAAGTCGCAAACGGGAATAAAGATTACAGTCCCTTCATACTGAGAGTCGAGACAACACCCCCTCATGAAGTCACAAACGGGAATAAAGATTACAGAAATTGAACGTTTTTTGTGATCTTTGATCGGCCCATTCTCAAATTCCTTTCTCCGTTCCTCCTCTCATTCCGTTTGTTCATTGCCGAACCCGTACCTAATTCCCTGATCCATTCCAGATTATAATCTTTGCAATCGGTGAAAATGTAATCTTTATGCCCGTTTGTGACACTGTGAAGGCCTCAAATACGGGAACCAATCAGAAATGGTTTCACATTGTCTTGACTCGCAGTATGAAGGGACTCAGCGTCTACCGCTCCACCGTCGAGAGGGTTCAATCCGTCACTCAAGCGTCACCCGCCGTTCCCATGAGCCGTGTTAAATCTCTCTATGAAGGGACTCTAGCCGTTCCAAGGTTCGGGCAAAATTCAACCTCGGAGCATGGCACATGACGCCTTCCCAAAAAGGACAATCGAGGATTGAAAACAATTTTTTAGGATGGAAGAAAAAGAAAAAAAATTGTAAAGGCCTCCAAGTAGCTCTTAAAAATGGAGGTTTCCTCTTCCTAAACCTCCATCTCTGAATTTGTTGGTATGGGGCACAGACAAGAGACCCTCCATATAGGCATTTTGATAATTTTCCTGAGAGATGAGAGTTGGGATGCCAATTTCTTTGCTAGGGTCCTGGAAGAAGGATTTCGGGGCAAAACTGTTTGCATGCCGTTGGCAACAGAGAAATTCCTCTTGTTTCAACGTTCGTTTATTTGCTGGTCGCAAAATTGTCCTTCTTGGAGGATGCCTCTGGGCATAGGAGAGGATTATTTTTTAAAAAAACACTTTGGGGAAGAAAAGGAGGGATGAGGATCATCAGATCCAGCAATAAATCTAAAGCTGAAGAGAATATTTGAGCGGAAAGCTCTTAAGCTCACTTACTATTACGGTGAGCGAGTTTCCAGCAAAGGCGGGAAGCAACTTACGAGCTAGGAACGGATATCGTAATCGTTAAAACTAGCGTTCGATCGAACATGAATGTCTCCATAAATGTTTCCGGGAAACATGTAAAATTCACTGAACATACAATTCACACGCACATACATAACAAGCGCCTATTGGTTTTGGGATGGTCGATAGTAAGTGCTGTGTCCGTGGTTAGTTCATCAGTACCACCAGTGGCGAGGCGTGAATGATCGACCATCGATATTTCTCCATTTGAAGCTGTGGTAAAGAATCGATTACTCAATCGATCCTTTTCTATATGTTCGAATGACAGTTCAATTGATCCATCGTAAAGCACGCCACGCCAACGAGAACCACCCGAAATAGCGAGAAATGCCGGGAGAACTTTCCCAAATTTTCTAGAATTTAGCATTATTTTCCAGTCAAGGTGACCGAGTTTAAAAGAACTCCTTTGCTTCTCTAGTTTTGCTCCGGGTCACTCATAAGATCCTCCGACTTTCTGATTATTTTTTCTCAGATTGCAAGTCGCAACCCAGTGCTAGAACAGAAAGGGGGGGGGGCGAATTAAAAGTAATTTTCGGCCGGCAATACTAGAGGCAAACTCGAAAACGAACAGCACGAGAAGCAAACACGCTCGCCTATTTTCACAATAATGCGTCGAGGTTTCGGTCGCACTTCGGAGACGCGGCTTCGTCCCGCAAATTGGACGTATTTCTGCCGAACGGAACTATGTGCATTATGACGAGAGCCTTGATATGCATTCATTCTTATGGGTCTCAGGGCTCATGCATTAATGCGCTTAGTTCCGTTTGACGGAAATACGTCCAATTGGCACCACCGTCGTGGAAATTGATTTGCTCCTTGAGTAAATTGCATGCAACACAATTAAAACCCGCCACGGCCCGCAGAAGCGAACTTTGTAGAAAGGTCGACGGAGGCGGGGTTGGGAGGGGATGAAGGAGGGGCATTAAGGGCACGGAGATAAGATGAGAAAAACTTGGGAATAATGAAAAGCGACATGCAAATACACAAACGAAATTTTCATGGTCTATAAGGAGTAGCCGATGTCGGCGGGGTGTTTGACATAATAAAGGGTAAAAAGATATAGTTAGAGAGTTCGTGTGCCTCAATTTTCCTCTGAACCTACAATAGTATACTGCGTATAAAAAATTCTTTAGGATTATACCGAGTTGTCCAACATTTGCGAAGATGGCATATTCAGCGATTTTGAGGTTTCATGAGGGGAAAAACGATGACAAATAAACTGACTGAGACAAATAGCGAGCATAGGGAAATGCAGAGAAGAATAGTCGGAGACAAAGAGACTAATCGAAAACGGAATCAGATTGATTCGCTTTAATAAATATTGCCGATCCGATTCACGTGTATCGCAAAGGCGTGGAACTGCCACGGAAGACTTGAGTTAGGTTAGCTTGGGTCACGCAACTAAATCAACTTCGCGGTAATGCGGGAGGTGTCGCGCGGAAATGAAGGCGCGCCACTGGTAGATCGCGCGGATTCCTCAGGAAGCTGCAATTAACGGTGGGTTTCAAGTTTCTCTCCTCTTCTCTTTGGTTAACTGTGCACTGCGTACAAGCAGCAAATCATGGAGCTCATCATCCACCCACAGGTAGATCAACAGCCGAAAAAAGGTTGATGACAGTTGATCCCTTATAATTTTCCTTACAGAATGATAAATTCCCCAAAGTATAAGTTTCCACCTGTCGCCAGGAGGCCATTGGAGGGTCTCTTTGTCTCTGTGTAAAGCAGGCTGTTTCTCCTTCTCACGCTCTACGACAATGAAAGGATGTGCCCCCACCGGTGCAATCTTTGCTCTGATTTGAAATAACATCACACCATACACAAATAATTGAGGGGACTCAAACTTCAGGGTGTCTACTAAAACTGACTGGCCAAAAAGCAGTACTTTTACAGTACATTCCCGAGAAATTTAGTACCTCCTCAACGGAAAAATTCGGTACGTTTTCAGTCCCTCCATATGACGAAATTCGAGAAATTTCGACATTTTTAATTTCTCTCTCAAATTGCGACAAAAATGAAAAATTCCGGACCTTCTGGCGGAATTCCGCACTTTTTCAGTGCTTCCGGACCGTCCTTAAAAAAATCAGTACTATTTCCGGACTTGTAGACACCCTGAACTTGGAGCTTAAGTTTTTCAGACTATAAACGCCCGGAGGAAGAAACAAAACAAACACGAACGTCCGTGAAGCTTATCAAGCCGTTCGAAAGCGCCTTCAGACTCTCGGCGGATGAATTTCAGGACCGGGACCACGTAAATCCGCCGTGCCAGCCGTGGAACTAACGATCTAATCAGGGGCCGATGGGTTCGTTGCGCGGCAAATTTCGTTCGCGAGTTTAATTAGACAAAAACCGCGATAGTTGCACCGCGCTGAACGGCAGGATCGCCGCTTGGAAAACGGAATTCGCCTGCTTTGCATTCGTCGGGCGGCCGCTCGGGCGAGATCGGGCAACCTCTCGTGGCCGTAAATCACGGCCGATTTTTGCGCTGGAACAGATCCATAAATTCCGGGCCAATTAAAACCGCCGGAGCCGATGCACGCGCCCGGACGGCTGCCATGATTGAAAACGGCGGAAATAATTGCGACTCCTCGGGGGTGAAGCGGAAAAACAAGGAGGTGATTCGAAGAGGAGACTCCTCGCAGAAGATGCTCGGAGCGACTGCATTGGCGGATCCAGCAAATTGGCAACATTATTTTCTCTCCGTTTAAACCTATGGAAATGTATCGAATCCTGGAGCAGGGTTGCCTCAGAATTTGGAAAATGAAATTCCCTGACATTTTCCTGATTTCTCTGACACACTTTGGTGAAATTCCCTGACAGAAGATATGGCAAATGGTTAAGAAGACATAAGTAATTGAAAATAGTTTTCAGGCAAAATTTGTGGTTCGAAACCTCAAACCCATTTTAGAGTGCACATAAAGGAGATTTAACAATTTTTCCCCCTGACTTTTTAAAATTCCTTGACATTTCCCGGTTTTTCCTGACTGTGGCAACCCTCTTGGTGGGGCCAAGTGCTCCGACAAGAATCGCTTGTTTAACATAGGTTTAGATGGTGGGACTCCGGTGTTGCCAAATTGCTGGAACCGCCTCTGGAAACGAGAAGACTAAGAGGAATAAAAAAAGGTTATACCTACTGAGACCCTGAACATTTTTCGTCCAATAAGTCTGTTGGCCAGCACGATGTGTCTGGTAGTGTTAACCATGCAGTAGGTTCTGCCAGACCCAAGCCAACGTAGCTGTTGGATACGTGATTCTGGCCGGGAGACGTCATGAACACCAAGGGTAAGGAAAGTTCTTCGCGTTCCTATTTTTAGGAACTCCTTTTTTCCCAAAGTTTTTAAAGCTGGAGCTTTTTTAGGTCCTTAATTCGCGACACTTTTTGAGTACTTTCCATTTCTGATCCTTAGAATGGCCTCCAATGAATTTTAAAGGGCCTTAGGGTACATTGTTGCCATTTTTGGCCCATATTTAGGGTTTTTTTTACAATTATACACGTGAAATATAATTTAATCTAAAACCGTGTACATTTTTTAAAAGAACATGAAAAAATTAATGACAAATGTTATATGTAATTTTTTATTAAAGGCGCTGCTGCACCTTTATACGGGCTCTGTTCCGTAAAATATATGGTATAGAGTCTACTTGAGACTAGTGCTTCGAAAATATGGAACATTTAGCAAAATGCAGGTGGGCCGGAAAAGGCCCTCAACGCAATTCAAGCTCTCATATTGAGGATTTCAAATTTCCGAGAGGCGAGGAGGAGAAAAGAGAAAATGTTTGATCAACTTACCGGCAGCTTTCTTGGCGGCGTATAGGTTGGCCTCTTCTTGCGCTTTGCCTATATTTTTCTTGTACCTAATTCGTTTATTTCCGAACCAATTTGACACCTGTGCAATGAAACAGAAGAGGAAAATTAAGATCACTGATTTAAATAGCTCACAATCAATTGGACAGAGTTTTACAGTACGTTTTCAGCACATTCCCGAGAAATTCAGCACCTCCTCACTGGGAGAATTCAGTACTTTTTCAGTACATCTAATTGACGGAATTGGAAAATTTTCAAAAATGTGAATCTCCCGCTCAAATTGCGACAAAAATGACAAAAACAATAAAAACAATTCCGCACCTACTTGCGGAATTTCCGCACTTTTTCGGTACTTCTGGACCAGTGTTCGAAACACACAGGCGCCAACGCGCCTAGAGCACCTAAGAAATCGGCCATGGCGCCTAAAAAATGGAAGCTCTGCGCCAACGTGACCCCTAAAAATTGCCCTACCCCCCGCCCCCCCCCATTTCTAATTTTTCTGTTTTCTGATTTTTCGAAATTTCCCCCGAGGTACAGTTACTAGTTCTGTAACAAAAACATCTTGAGTCTAACTTTTCACTAAACGCACCGTGATATATGGGCAAAAAGTCAATCCGGCCCCTAAAAATCGAACTCGTTGCGCCACATGGTACCTGAAACTCACAGGTGAGTTTCGAACACTGTTCCGGACCGACCTTAAAGAATCAGTACTATTTCCGGACTTGTAGACTTCCTGAGAGCGTGAAAGGAAAGCAACTTGCGGAGATGGACGAGATGTAAAGCAAAAAGTAATTGCAGAAATGCAGACGAACAAAAAGCAGAGCAGGGAGTGCTGCACGAGTGGTGCAACACGATGAGCTCAAAATGAAACACCCGGGGCCTGGGGCGGTGGGGGGGGGGGGGGGTGGGCTGCTATTTTCGAGAGTCGACACTTGTTATTCTCAGCGCACCATAATTTAATAACCAAAGCTCCGCTAGAGCGAGCATTTATTAACAATTAAATTCGCGGGGAGGGAACCCGCGGGGGGCGGGAATGTAAACTAAACTAATAACTGCAACACGTCCTTCCCAAATTGTAATATTACATTTATATTTATTTTATTTTCCTCGTCGTTATCATCGCGCGCTCGAGGTAGCCTCCCCCGCCACGCCCCCAACCCCACCAGTACTAATTATTGTCTTCTGTTAATTAAAAATATCCCCTCTCCGCTCTCTACCTTATGAGGTGTGGTCGATTAACCGCTCCAATTGTTCACGTTTTCATGATTTGAGCTTTTGTCGCTCTTGCGCGCTTGAAATATGGATCGCAAACAGCAAAAGGGAACAAGCGCGATTGCAGTGCTTTCAAAATCGTGCAACTCCTCCTTTTCTTTTAAAAATACTCAATGTATGTGCAGTGTAAAAATTTACACGATTGTTTTTCATTAAAGTTAACAACTTTTTGGCGGGAAGAAAAAACCATTCGCGATTCTGAGAGATTTTTTGAATAATTGTGAAGGAGCAACATTTTTACAACACTGTAATCACGCTGGTTCCTTTTTGCTAGATGCGATCCATATAACATTCTTGAGTTTTCCATTCACTTTTTTTTTCTCTCTCTCTCCCTTCCTCCCCGAACTGTTTTCATTCAACTATTTGCTTCAAGAACAAAGGTAGGGGATAAGCGGTAAAATGAAAAGGATTTAAGGTAAACTTTTTGATACTTCGACTATACTAGTTTCACTTCTCTATAATTTTAATGTGACACTTCTGCCCGGATAGGCGTCTCAATTTTTCTTACGAAGAGAAGATCAAGAACAACTTACCTGTGACACGGTTATACTACATTTCCTAGCTAATTCTTCTTTCGCCTCTTCCGACGGATAGGGATTGCTCAGATGAGAGTAGAAATATTCGTTCAAGATTTCTGAGGCCTGTTTGCTAAAGTTCCGCCGTTTCCGTCTGTAACACAACAAAATGAAATTTTTAGATTCTCAAAGAAAAAACTGCGCGATGGTGAAATAAGAATGACGCCCAGTAGTCATAGCGGCTGCAAATGGATCGTATTCAATAAGGGTTCGATGTATCGTTTGGTTCAAAACAATAGAACATACAAACACATAGTTTTGGATTCAAGTTGGAAAAGCTGAAAATGAGACAATTCCTAAAAATATCACTCCTCATTGCCAAAAGAAAAACCAGGTGAGTTTTTTTCCTTATAAAAAATAAAGTATGACAGGGAAGTCTGCAACGTCGCAAACCAAGATACGTGTTCTAGTAGTTTTACCGTCGATATGTACAATAACTTGGGAGTATAATTGGACGTATTTCTGCCGAACGGAACTATGTGCATTATGACGCGAGCCCTCTTATGCATATATTCTTATGGGTCTCAGGGCTCATGTCTTAATGCACATAGTTCCGTTTGACAGAAATACGTTCAATTTTCAAAAGGCTTTGCAATATCAAGACTGTATACTTTCTGAAAAATATCCACCCTGCCGGGTGGTTTTTGTCCAATTACAAATAATATGAATATCGATAGGCAGAGTACGAAACAACGTGCCTCCGTTTACGACGTTGCAAACTTCTTGTCTTTATTTTCATTATTCAGAAAACTGGTCTTGATTTTCCTTCTCTCTCACAATCAGTAAGAAATACTCTGCATAAATTTCAAACCATGCAGCTAACTTGTTTTGCTTCAAAAAATAAAGTAGATGCGGAAATTTTGAAACACCGCTACGGAGACACGTGGTCCCGCACTTTGGCATTCGGCATAGGGAGGAAGGCATACAAGGTAACACTAGAGTCTCTTTATGCTATGAGAGTTATGACAACCCCCTCATGGAGTCACAAACGGGAATAAAGATTACACAAATTGATAGTTTTTCGTAGTCTTTGATCGGCTCATTCTCAAATTCCTTCCTCCGTTCCTCCTCTCATTCCGTTTGCTCCTTGCCGAACCCGTTATTCCCCGGTCCATTCTAGATTATAATCTTTGCAATCGGTGAAAATGTAATCTTTATCCCCGTTTGTGACAATGTGGAGGCCTAAAATACGCGAACCAATCAGAAATGACTTCACATTGTCCTAACTCTCAGTATAAAGGGACTCTGTGGTGACACGGAAAATGAAGAGAGGGCAGGAGAAAAAGAGGTAGCATCAAGGGTTAACCTCAGCGGATGGATTGATTAATTGATTTAAAGATTTCACCGGTAACGGCAACCGAGTTGGGGCTTGCTTTAAACGGATTAGGACGCAGTCTCCTCGAATCGGGTCCTCGTAAAAATCCAACTTTTAATGGAGGATCTGGTGGGGGGGGGGTTGGAA